GAAAAATCAGTAAATTTTCCCTAACACCATGCTCTGTTTCAGCTAAAATCTTGAAAATGGCCTGGTGCAATTAAAATGACGCATTCTAGCAGCAGACGTATGTTTGCCTTTTACAACTGCGAACAAATGAGTTGTAAAGTAACAGAGTGTCACGGAGGTCAAAATCAGACCCACAAGCATATGTTTTCGCCATTTCTTCTTCCACACTTTCACTACAGCAACATTAAGATATGATATTTGTAGCCAAAATGAGAACGAATTGAAAACGAAATCGATGGTGAGTGCAATGGACACGCGGATGAAGAAATCCCCAACCAAACCCAGGTCAGAGAAGGCCAGACTATTATTGTTGTACATGAAGCTATACAGCTGGATGAAGCCAACCGCTGCTATTAACGCAGTCGATTCTCCGAGGATCATCTGAATGCTCATGTCGGCAATAAGACGCATGCTTCTGGGCGTTCGAAATCTGTCCGCCCTTAACGCGTCTTCAGCGTTAGTGTCACCTTTACACTTTTTGTAGATAAAATACCACAGATAATCCCGCACAACAATGGTCAATCTTTCCAGTAAGTCAACTGCACTGTGAACAAAGCTCAGAGCAATGAACAGTTGAAGACTCGTCAGTTCTGCTTGCATGACGCGAAAAACGATCGCAGATGCGCTGTATAGAACACTCAGTAGGACATGGGAGTCGCCGGGATGGAGAAAATCGATCCTTTGGGCCGCCAATCGGACGATGACCTTCGGTACAGCGGTCATCAAAGGAAGTGCGCCAGCTATAACGGCTCTGTTCGTCTCATTCTGCTGACCGTATAATGGAATCAATACGTAAACAAGAACTAAAGCGATAGGAATCCCAAATGCCAATTGCGCTGCGAGTATAGAGGAAACCTTGAGGATTTTTCTAAGTTTTCTTCTTCGATCCCTGGCCGTTATTTTAGCAATTTCTCTTCCCACTAGAACAGAATTCAGCAGAACCATAGTTAGAAATAAAGCGTTTAAAGGAAAAGACATCCATGACTTCTCGTATATTTCAAAGACTTGGAGGTACAGCCTGAAACAGGTATCGAAGAATGCTCCCAATAGATTAAGAACTAATAGATTAAGTCTTTTCACTAATGGCCAGCTAAACATTGTGATTACCAGAAGAAATGGCCACATCTGGACTACATATGCTTCCAGTGTCTCGGCTGTCACAATAATGGCCTGAATCTTACGAGGTAACGAGTTCCAGTGACCATGCAACTGTCTGTCGTAGCAAAGATCTACGGAATTAAAATCCAAAACTAAAATTAATAGAGCGAGCGAGCCGAGAGCTAAACCTCCTATAATTTGAATAAAGAAAACACATTTCACGGCCTTCCAAAGCGACATCCACCATCTTGGCGGTCGAGATCTCCTCCAGCCCATTTTACTGTCGTCTCCTGGTGGTGGATCGTACTCCTGAAAAATTGTATCATTATCGACATTATCAAAGTTTTTG